GCCGCGGGCCCCTCGGCTCCACGTCCAGCGGCCCGCGGGCCCGGCAGCTCGGGCGCGTTTTCGCGCGCAGATTTGAATCCCTCGTTCAAAACCAATGGGACGGGCGCAAGCCTGCGCGGGGGCTGCTGGGAAATGGAGTCCATCGCGGGCCCCACCCGGCCCGGCAGCTCCTGCTCCTGCCCCTCCCCAGCGCGGCCGGAGCTGTCCGGGATCCAGGTGTTGCCGCGCTGGGACCCCCCGGACCAGGTGCCGTTCGCCGTCATTGCTGCTGTGCAGGTCACTGAGGGGTCCACGAGCACTGGGGGTACCGGTCCTTGTCCCACAACTCAGCGGGAGACAGCGATCATTCGGGGGCTGAGGGGGAAATCCCCGGCTGTGGCTGCAGGGGCTGATCTCTGCCCTGTCTGAGAGGAGCAGGTGCAGCCCCTCCCGGGCCCGGGCTCCGCTAAGTGGGACCTCTCCCAGTTTCTGGGCGTTTGCTTCCCCGGGTCTCCTGCAGCCCCCGGAGGTGTCCGAGATTTCCACGTCCAGCTCGATGTCTGCAGTGGGGGGAGTCACCCTGCGTTGCCGCATCGCGGGGCATTTCCCGGGGCAGCTGAGTGTGACCTGGCTCCGGAAGCTCAGGCACGAAGTTGTGGCCGTGACCCTGCAGGACTCGGGTGACTGCCGCATCCACCCTGGCACAGCCGTCCCGGCACCGGACGGGAAGAGCTTCCAGCAAGAAACAAGGCTCAGCCTCACTGGCTCCACATCCCATGGCCTGGGCGCCGAGTACATCTGCCGGGTGGGACACGTCTGCCTGGGGACCCCCGTCGAGAGAAGCAGCGGTGAGCAGCAGGGCACAGGCCAGTCGGCCTTTCGGGGTGAAGTCTGGTGCCAGGGCCCCGCGCTGGGTCCCCGCTGGGCGAGGGGAGCCCACGGCAGAGCCTGCTGGGGACCACGGGCCAGGCCGGCCGGGGCGGTGGGTGCGGTGTCAGACCCCCAGGCCAGGGCTCACACTGACACATTTCCCCCTCTTCCAGACTGCGATTACAATCGCTGGGAGTCGTACAGAGTCCGAGCCCCCAAAGCACAGCTTCAGTGTGCATACAAGGGGCCCCCACCATGTGTGGGTGGTGCTGTGTGCCCGCCCCAGCACGCAGGGCCCAGGCCAGAGGATTAAACCAGCTGTAATGCTTGGAGTCCAGGCTGGTATCATTCCACGCTGGGATGTAGCCAGCTCTGGGGTGGGCGCCAGGGATCAGGTGTCACAGAGCTGCGGCTGAGTCTGGGGTGGACATCAGGTGCTGCATATAACAGAGTTGCATCCAGCTCTGGGATGGGGACTAAGGGCTGCGTATACCAGAGTTGCAGGCGGCTCTGGGGTGGGAGCCAAGGGCTAGGTGTCACGGAGCTGTGGCCAGCTCTGGAGTGGGCACTTGCAGGTGGTGCAGGGCTCCTGAGACTCCCCGGGGGAACGAGGGCCCTGGCTGGAGCTGTTAAGCCTGAGCGGGGCAGCCGTCTGTCCCTGGCAGCCCCAGGGCAAGCAGCTCAGGGCAGCAGGGCTCCAGGAGGACCTGGCACTTGTATGACACCTCTGTGGGGCAGGGAGCACAGGCAAGACCCCAGGCTGAGAGGGACGGGGTTTTACAGGCAAGCGGCTTTGTTTTATTTTCAGCCTGCTCAGGGTCCGGTGCCCAGGAAAGGGCTAAGCCGGGCCAGAGGGTCCAGGAGCCTGGAGAAGGGGCTGCAGACGGGGCCGGGGGTCTGAGAGTCCAGGAGGAGGCTGTAGGAGACGGGGGCTGAGCGGTCACGAGGGGTATGACGAGCACCCCTGGGACAAGCACTTGCTACCGGCCTGTTCGTGTGAGAGCCTGGGGGGGCTCCAGGGTCCCGAGGGCAGCGCTCTATGTCCATGCGTGTCCCAGCGCTGGAGTCAAACATTCCCGAGAGCCGGTTCCACAAAGACGAGGCCGGTGTTAGATTTAGGCGTCCGTGGCAGAAGCCGTGCAGCTGCAGTCCCAGCTCAGCCTGTAGGAGCCTCGGGAACTCCGGCGTGTCATCTCGGGGAGCAGGGCCCTGCAGAGAGAAGTGGGGGACAGGGTGAGGCCCCTGCCAAGAGAGTACCAGGTGCAGCCTGGGCATCCCTGGGCAGGTGCAGCAGTGCCCAGCACTGTCCCTGGAGCTGCCTCGCCAGGGGGGCATGGGTCCCCAGCTCTGGCTCACCTGTGTCCTGCCTCTCCCTGCTGCCTCCTCCTTGGCAGGTTGTCAGGTACATCTGCAGGGGAAGAAAGCCCGCTCCTCGTGCTGGCCATGAGGAAGGACACAAACCTTTCCTGGCTCCTGCAGGGGAACAGCAGCGGGGTTTCCCAGTCGCACCACTCAGCCGAGAGACCCGGGGTTGTGGCCATGTGCTAGCCGAGGACCGTGCCAGGCATCCTGCCCTGCGTGGCCTGTGGGAGCTGGGAGCACATGTACCAAGGATGCCCTGAAGGAAATCCCTGCCGCGCTGCTGCTGGGTCTGGGATCCCTGCCGGGTTGTTCCCCGCGCGGCAGGTCCCGCAGCCCCAGCACCCAAGCCGTGGGGAGCAGGGGAGATCTCGGTCCCGTTCCCCAGCTCCTCTCGGCCTGTCCTGCTCTGGTCCTGGCCAGAGACAGCAGCTGGTATTGGGCCACCTGGCCCAGCAGATGGGAGCCCAGCTTGATGGGAATGAGCTGGGGATGTAGTGGAAGGGAAGCTGCTCTTGCCAGGAATGTGGCACCCACGTGCCGTGTCGTGTGCCAGCCTCGCAGCTCGCAGGGCCAGGTTGGGGCAGGGAACACCATCCACGCTGGCATCGGGGAGCTGAGACCGACCTGTCACCTGCAGCTCCGCGCTGCTCTTCTCCACGGGCCGCTCCAGGGCCACGTGCTGCACGCGGCAGATATACTGGGCGCCCTGGTCTCTCTGCACCGACAGGGTGAAGCTCAGTTTTGTCTCCTGCTGGAAACTCTTCCCATCCAGTGCCTGCACGGCCGTGCCAGGCTGAACGCTGTAGTCTTGTATGTCCTGCAGGAGCACAGAAGGAGCCTTTCCCTTGCCCTTCCGGAGCCAGGCCACCCTCAGCTCAGCCGGGAAATGCCCCGAAATGCGGCAGCTCAGGGTGACTCTGCTCCCCACGGGCACTGACTCTGGCTGGGAGATGTCCGACAGCGCCGGGGGCCGCAGGAGCCCTGGGGAAGGAAAGGCGCAGAGACGGGGACAGGCCGTGTTAGGGGAGCCGGGCCCTGGCAGAGGCTGCTTCCCCTTCCCTCGCACACGAGAGACCAAACCCCGCAGCAGGGCTGGCACCCCTGGGGTCTCCCCAGCTTGGGGTATTGTTCAACCCTGATTGGTGTTAGCATGGGTGTGCCTGGGACACCCACATTGTGTGTGCGTGCATGTTGAGGATGCCCGAGTTGTCTGCATTGTGTGTCCCAGACGTGAGTAGTGTGTGTGTGTCACATACAGCAGGCGGTGTGTGCCGTCCTTCCCCCCATCCCATCTGGTCCCCTCCATCCCCACTCTGCGGGGAGCCCCCCAGTATAGCCCGGGGCCTGCTGCTCTGCCCCGGTCACTGGCCCAGCCCCGTGGCCCCCCTGGTGTGGGGGGCGATCCGACCTCCTGCGCCCAAGTCCTTGCCTTGAGCTCTCCAGTGACCCTCAGGGCACCGCGCCTGCCTTGGCACCCCCAGGCTCCAGGGCTCTGCCAGCTTCCCCGTGGGGCGGGCAGGGGAGGGGAAGTTACCCCCATCCAATGCGTGCTACCTGGGGGGGGGGGTTTGCCTTCCTCTGAACAGTGGCACGCCTCTCCTGGGGACTCCTCAGGTTGTCACCCCACCCCTCTGGCCATGGCCTCGTCCCCCTGCTTCACCTGGGGCAGGGCTGGGGGCTCTGGGGGTCTTTGATCCTTGTTGTTGTGCGGGTCTAGGACCAGGCCAGGCCAGGCCGTGGCTGGGCTGGTTTGGAGTAGACGAGCCTGCCTGGAGCTGCCCTGCGAGCTCTGGGGTGGAGCAAAAGGGGCACATATAACACTGCCAAAGGAGGACTTGGATGCAGCCAGCTCTGGGGTGGAGCAGAACAGGCCACACATAACACTGTGCAGGTATGGGTTGGATGCATCCAGCTCTGGGGTGGAGCAAAAGAGCCACGAGTTACTCTGCCCAGGGACGACTTGGGTGTGGCCAGCTCTGTGGTGGAGCCCAGCAACCACATTACACTGCCCAGGGAGGGCCCCCATGCAGCCAGCTCTGGGGTGGAGCAGAAGGCCCACATGTAATGGACAGGGGCAGTTAATCCATTGGCATGGCTAGGGCAGCCTTACCCTGGCTAATTTCCCTA